CACACACACACACACACACACACACACACACACACACAGTCCCGGCACACTGGAGGTCAAGGCAGGAAGAAGAGTTCAAGCTTCTCTTCAACAAGTAGTGAAGTGAAGTCAAGGTCAGTGTAGGCTACGTGGTACCCAGTCAAAAAACAAAAAACAAAAAAAAAAAAAAAAAATGAGGAAAGAGGACCAGGTGGCAGTGGTGGTCCTCGCCTTTAATCCAGCACTCGGGAGGCTGAGGCAGGCGATCTCTAAGAGTTTGAAGCCAACATGGGCTACAGAGTAAGTTCCAGGAAAGGCGCAAAGCTACACAGAGAAACCCTGTCTCGAAAAACAAAAAAAAAAAAAAAAATTTTTTTTTTTTTGAGGAAAGAGCCTTACAGCAAGTTTAAAATGTGCACTGTAGGCTAGGCACAGTGGCATATACCTTTCACCCAGCACTGGGGAGGCAGAGGCAGGCAGAGTTTCGCAAATTTGAGGTTAGGACCACATAGTGAGACTCTGTCTCCCTTGTATTCTCCGACAAAGATGTGCACTATATATAATATACATAGATATGTATATACATGGATACACTGTAGTGTGTGTGTGTGTGTGTGTGTGTGTGTGTGTGTGTGTGTGTGGTGCCTTCTCCCTCGGGCTTTGTTTTCTTCTTGTCCAGTGGAGTTTTGGTAGGTAGCTAAAGTGACTCAAATTCACTTTGTTGCCCAGGCTGACTTTAAATTCAGGATCCTCCTTTCAGAAACTTCCAAGAGTTAGGGCTACAGATGTGTGTTTTATTGTGTCTATCTCCAGATTGTCCTTTTTAAAAAAAAAAAAAAAAAAAGTTTGGCCAGACACTGTGGTTCATGCCTGTAATCCTAGCACTTCGGAAATTGAGGCAGGAGGATTGCTATGTGTTTGAAAGCAGCCTGGGCTACGGTGTGAGACCAAGAGTTGATTTTTTGTTTTGTTTTGTTTGTTTAAATTTAGGCTCTGCAGTCTTGGAGTCCCCGTTCCATGTCCAGCCCAGAAGAAATGCCGCCCTCACCAGATCCCTTCTACACCCAGTGACCCAAGGCTCCTTCCTCCCCTCTTCCTAACAAGTGCCTCAAAAGGCATGGGGGCTGGACTCCCTCCACTCCCTCTGGCCTCCGCCCCTCCTGGAGATGGGGTCAAGGCAGCAGGACTGACCAAGTGACTACTGGGGGGCCAGAGGAGCTCAGCCCAAGCTCTGGGCACCCTAGACCTGAGCTGGGGGTTCTCTGGGAACCTGGAATGAGTTCCCTGCTCCTGAATGAAGGTCGGGTGCCACCTGTTTAAACTTCTTGCCTTTACTCTTTTTAACGGAGGCAGGTAGGTGAGGGGACTGCAGCTGCCCCCTGCCCTCTTTCCTTCTGGAATGAGCAATGCAGTGGTCAGGGGGCGGGGTTGCCACTGCCCAGTCCACGCTGGGTTTTAGACCAGAAGCTCACAGCCCTCCATGTCTCTCTGCCGGCACCAGGGTCTTGCTCCAGTTAGACCTCTAATCCCATGCTTCTGTAGTATTAATAGCTTCCCAGAAATATTCTTTTTTTTTAATTAATTAAAATTTTAATTTAAGATGAGTTCTTTTAATTACCCCCATCCTGCTGCTGTCTCTGTCCTTGCCCCGTCCCTTTAGGATCCTTATTGTTTCCCATTGAAGAGGAGGTGAGGACTGGATCTTAATTTGACTACATTCCACTTAAGACCTGAGAGTCCTGGCCTCCCCTCCGTTAGCCTCCCTGCTGGCCAGGTAAAGGAAGAGGAGGGTTCTGTGTCAAAGCCAGGATGTAGCAAAACTAGCTGTATCTCAGGGTGGACTTCCTGTTAGGAATGTGACCTGGAGAGGGAAATAGGATGAAAGGACTTCGAGCACAGGTCTTAAGATCCTTTATGGAAGCCTAGCTTTTCAGCTCCAACAGTGTGGACAGTTTGGGCTGCGTCATTCTTTGTAATGGAGGGCTATTCTGCATACTAGAAACTACAGCCTCTCTGGCCCACCCTAATGTGGCAACCAAAATGCCCCCGGAAATTGCCAAATGTCTCCTGGGGACAAAAATTACCCACAGTTGAGAACTGCAGCTTGAGAGCCAGGATAGGTTTTTTCTTACGTGATTTCCACATCCCTCGCCCCCCCCTCCCAAGTCTGGTTATTCAGCCTGAGCCACGGGTGAGCCAGCACCCTCAGGACAGGCTCAGCAGAGCTGTGCATCTTCTTTGAACGTAGTGCTTGTGCTTGCGTGGGCTCAAGTCTCTGTGACAGACACACGTACGTACGGTGTGTCTCTGTCTTTGATGTCTGCAAGAGGGCCTCCCACAGTTCAGAGACGTGAACAGGGCATGCTGGGATAGGAGAACAGGGCTCAGTGTCTCTGGAGACACTGGCGGTGCCGCCCGCGCGCTGAGCCGCTCCGTGCTGCAGTCCTTGAACCCAGCGTAAGACTCAGGGAGTTTGTTTGGAAGATCGAGTGTCACTCACCACGTGGCTGAAGATCCTGCGATCGATCGATGGGAAGCCCTGTAGGAGCAGAGTCTTTGGGCCCTTTGTTTTCTCAGGTCTTTTTGTTCTGTCCCTTTCTTTGCAGGCTGATTAGAAAGGCAGAACAAGACAGATGAGCTGCCGCCAGTCCTAGAAGACAGGGCTGGGGTCTCATTAGCTCTGTAATAGGAAGCTTGTTGTGTGGTAATGGGTCAGGGCTGTGGAAGCTGATCCACCCCTGCCGGCTCCATCCAGTTACCCCTCCCGTAGCGACTGAGGTTTCCATTTGTCCAGAGCTCGGTGTGCTCCTGTAGTTTCTCAGGCTCTAACGTTGGTCGTGGACGTCCATTCCCAGTTTGCTGACTCGCAGTTCCGGTCAGGTCGGCCTGCCTCCCTGAAGGGCGCTTACCTTGTTGCCCTAGAGGAGCTCATGAGTGGGAGGCTACATGAACACTTGCAGGCATGGTGGACCTGTGCCCACGGGGCGGCACGCTCCCAGGAAAGCCATGCACATCAGGTCACAATGGCAAAGGGTTGGACACTGTGGGGTTAACGGGAGGGGATGAGGTGTGGGTGAAGCCGAGGTCCAGCCTTTGTTAACTAATTTGGACACAGTCTTCTCTTGGCTGCTCTCCGGCCTTGAGCTACCTTCTCTAATGTGTACGCCACCACCACTTAACAAAGTGACTGGAATGGGTTGAGAGTCATAATTTATATTAAAAACCTGATGGACTTTTAAGATACATTTTTCCAATAAAAGAATTAAGCAAAATAGTTGCAGAGTAATCACTACGAATGTGTGTTAGATCAAAAGATGGGCATGGAAAAATAAATAAATAGCTGGGCCTGGTGGTGCACACCTTTGATCCCAGCACTTGGGAGGCAGAGGCAGGTGGATCTCTCTGAGTTCCAGGACAGCCAGAGTTGTTGCACAGAGAAACCCTGTGTGTGGGGGAGGGGAGGGGGATGGCTGATGAAGATGAACTTGTGTTCCAGCATGGCTTTTCTTGAAGAGGCCGGGGACTGGGTAGGTAAGGAAAGCCACCACAGCCTCTGGGGTGGAACTCCTTGTTCTTGCTATTTATTCCCTCTCCTTGGTGTTTTGGAAGTACTACCTTTGGTCAGGTGTGATGGCATACACCTTTAACCAGCATTCAAGAGGTTGGCAGATCTCTGAGTTTGAGGCCATTCTGATCTGCACAGCAAGTTCCAGGCTGGCTGGGACTATGACGTCAGACCCTGCCTCAAAAAATGGATTTGTTTTAAACAGTGCTGGGGTGAGGAAGATGAGCGGCAGACGGAATAGAGGAACAAGCTGGAGGCTGCTGGCTCTAAGGTCCCTGAGGAAGTATTTCTGTAAGGACATAAGACCAGCCAGCTAGTGGTGACCCACACCTTTAATCCCAGCACTTGGGAGGCAGAGGCAGGCGGATCTCCAAGTTTGAGGCCAGCCAGGTCTACAGAGAAAGTTCCAGGACAGCCAGGGCTACACAGAGAAAACCTGTCTTCTGTCTGGAAAAACCAAAAAAGACACAAGACCAGTGGAAGTGTTTGCCTAGCATGTGCAGAACCCTGGGTTTGACCCAGTCACCACCAAAAAGAAAAATGAGACCAAAATAATGTGGTTTTTATGGTTTTTTTTTTTCTGTATTAAAAATAATGTAGTGGGTGCTGGGGTTGAAACGGGAGGTTACAATGCAGATATCTCCTCTTGAAGGTGACGTGGCCATTACCTCTGATTTCTTTCTATCTGGGGAAGGTAAGAAAATAGAAAAGGAGAGATTATAATCACATCTACATTCTTTTCCCTGCTTTACCCTCTACAAACCATTTCCTCAACTTTGCTGGTTTGGTTTGGTGTGTGTGTGTGTGTGTGTGTGTGTGTGTGTGTGTGTGTGTGTGTGTATTCAAGAGAGTGCACATGTTCCTGTGTTCCTGTGTGTGTGTCAGGAGTCAAGGTGTCTCCTTGACCACTGCTCACTGAAGCAAGGTCTCACTGAACCCGAGGACACACACGTGACTTATGGAGGTGCCTGGGGATCTGAACTTTCCTCTGGTTGCTCAGCAAGCATTTTATCCACTGGACCATCTCCACAGCTCTGCTTTCTCTCTCTGTTTCTTCACTTATTTTGTTTAGTTTTTAAAAAACAAAACAAAACAAACAAAAAAACAAAAACAAGGTCTTGTATAGCCCAGCCTGGCCTTGATTTAAAAAAAAAAAAAAAAAAAAAGATTTGTTGGGGCTGGAGAGATGACTCAGTGGTTAAGAATAGAGGACCGGGGTTCAATTTCCAGCACCCACATGGCAGTCACAACTATCTGTAACTCCAGTTCCAGGGGATCCGACACATTTATACTGATATACATGCAGGCAAAACACCAATGCACATAAAATTAAAAAATAAAATAAGAAAAGTGAAAACAGATTAAAACAAATTTGTTTTGAGTTGGTCAGGTATGGTAACATACACCTTTAATCTTAGCATTTGGGGCTTGAGGCCAGCCTACTCTATATTGTAAGTTCCAGCCCGGCCAAGGCTATATAGACCCTGTCTTAAGAAAAGAAAAGTTTTTTTTGTGGGAATGAGGGCATGTTCATACAGTGGCACTTGTGGATTCAGGGGTCAGCTTTTTGAGAGTGTTTCTCCTTCCTTCTTGTTTTTTCAGACAGTATCCCATTTCTGTTTCAGGCCAATTATGTCTCCTACCTCCCATCACCATATGAGTGCTGGGATTGCAGATGTGTGCCTCCACATCTGGGTTTTCATATGGGTTCTGGGGATGGAACTCGTCATTAGTCATGTGCAGTAAGCACTTACCAAGTCACCTCCCTGGTGGGATGGGAACATTTTTATTTTGTTTTGTTTTTTTTGGGGGGGGGAGGGTGTTTGTTTATTTTGAACTTTTTATGGTGTGTGTGTGCATGTACCTGAGAGTACAGGTGCCCACAGAGCCCAGGGTGTTGAATTCCCCTCAAGCAGGAGTTATAAGGTGGTTGTGAGTGCCTGATAAGTGTGTTGGAAATTGAACTGGTGTCCTTTGGAAGAGCAGTAAACGCTCTTAAGCACCGAGCTGTATTTCCAGTCCACTGACCGGGGACTTCTCTCTTCCCTCTGTTTACCAACCCGATTATAAGTGTGCACCCCATGCACAAGGACCTCGGAACACTAGGTAAGCACCCTACTAACGGAGCTGCATAAACCTCCCGCCCCCAAGTGCTTTATGTTTCTATTAAAAATAGAATTGGACTCACTAGGAGGAAAACAAAAATAGAAACCAGCAAATCACCAAGTGGGCCCTGAGCTGACGGCCTTTGCCCTGCCAGTCATGCCTAGCAACTGACCAGAGTCAGTCTCAACCTTCAGTAACTTGTTTACTGTTGGTTTAAGTCAGGGTCTCACTATGTAGCTCTGGCTGTCCTCAAACTCACAGAGAGCTGGCTGCTTCTGCCTCCCGAGTGCTGGGATTAAAGGTGGCACCATCACACCCAGCTTCTTTGTGACATTTTAAGTTGCTGGGTAGAGTCTCAAAAGGACAGTCCTTTGGGAACATGGGTACTGGTAGAAAAGCTCCAGTGTTGTGCCTCTGTCGCTATTTTCTTTCTTCAGTGATGGGACTGAACCTATTGCCTTTGCATGTACTAGGCAAGACCACTGAACTACCCAGCCCTACTAGCTTGTAAACCTGTTTCTTCACCTGTAAACAGGATACAACCCTATAAGCTGAGGACAGATCCAAGTGCCATATCCAGAGCGAGACCTCAGATACTAGCTGTTACTATTACAATGCAGTAAATTAAAACTGTTAATCAGAGTTGGAGGGAGAGATGGCTCAGTGGTTAGGAGGACTGCTCTTCCGGAGGACATGAGTTCAGCTCAACCATCTGTAACAACAGTTCCAGGGACTCATCCCTTTTCTGGTTTCCACGGGAACCAGGAATGTATGGTACACAGACATAGATCCAGGAAAAACACCCTTGCACAATGATTTTTTAAAACTTAGGCGGTGGTGGTGCACGCTTTTAATCCCAGCACTTGGGAGGCAGAGGCAGGCAGATCTCTGAGTTCAAAGGCCAGCCTGGGCTACAGAGTGAGTTCCAGGACAGCCAGGGCTACACAGAGAAACCCTATCTTGAAGGAAAAAAACAAACAAAAACAAAACAAAAAGCCTCATGTTAATCATTAATTGGTTGATATGTCCCATGTCCATTGTCTATGAATTGAGTCTTTACAGCCAAGTATGCTGGGAAAATTGTGGTCAATTGGAGGTAAGCCAAACTACCTGCTAAGACTCTTAAAAAGAAAAAAGGGGGGCTGGAGAGATGGCTCAGAGGTTAAGAGCACTGCTTGTTCTTCCAGAGGTCCTGAGTTCAATTCCCAGCAACCACATGGTGGCTCACAACCATCTGTAATGAGATCTG